AAAAACATAAATAAGCCAAAAGAACAGAATTAAAATTACCTACATGACACTGGGATGATTAATGGCTGGTGAAGATCATTCTGAATTTTTCTCTATGAATTTTTAACAGGTTAATGAATTATGTGTTGGTTTGTAGTCTATTTTCTCCACACAGCAATATATCATGAACACCTTTCCGCATCAACAAATAGGTTTTAACCAAATGGTCCTCAATCCAGTCCTTCCAATTTCCTTCTCTCTGGAGCCCTCTGCTCCCCTAATTTCCTGTCTCGTACCACACGGAGAACACTGAAGCCATTGGGTGTGAACTCCCTCACCTTCTCAGCCCCACATCTTCCTGTCCACATGCAAGTCTGCCTGGAAGCTCCATGTCCTCTTGTGACAGTGTACAAAACATCTGAAGCCAAGCCACCCCACTAGAGGACTTTGCTCTTTCAATCCCCAGCTCCCTCCTACCCCACGGATTTCTCCCTCGGTTCTAGACCATTCCTGGCAGTCTACACAACGTGATCGATTACTTCCAATTTTAAAAGCAATAAAAACTCTTCTTTGGCCCCACGAGTGCCTCCAGCTATATTGCCCAGTGCCTAGTAGGTGCTCAGAAAATGCTTGTTGATGCTTGAATGGGGGGCTGAAGTGCAAACCCAGACCCCTGAGTCTTGCTTGGTACTTGCTACACAATCCAATGATGAGACCCCTTTATGCAGAGGAAAGCTGCTAGTTAGTATACTCATTCTAGAGGTGTGAAATAGGCTCAGAGAGCTTAAGCCACCTGATCAAGGTCACAGAGCCTAAGGACAGGACTTGCAGAATATAAAAGCTAGGACCCTAGGAATCTCCTAGCCCCAATCCCACCACATATGGCTGGTGGACTAAAGCTCAGAGTCACATTCACAGTCACACTTCCGGCTGGTGGCTGAGCCGATTCCTAGCCCAGCACCCTCTCCATTACACGTGGGGGCCACCTCCCTTATCCTGAGCATCCTGCCTGGTTCTGGAATGGAAAGGAAAGTACAGTTCCAGGCACGTAGTAGGTGCTCAATAAATGCAAGAATCATACGTGAAAGAAAAAATGGTGGCGGTGGGGGGAGAGAAGACAGACGCCTTCGACTCTTCCTCCAAGTGTGGCTCGCAGACACTCCAGGTGAGAAAACAAACTTGGTGGCGGTGACCTCGGGCAGCAATGCTCAGATGCAGTGCCCACTGAGCTGCCTCACGAGGAGGAGGCAGGTGACACCCCATCTCCAGGGAAGGAGGACCCTCCAGCCCAAACAGCATCTCTTCTCTCTGATGACCACTAGGGGGCGGCAGCACCCTGCCTATCTGACAGCCAAGGTGCCGCACATCCAGTCAGCCTTCCTTGGGGAGGAAGCTTCCAGCCTCTGGCCAACCCTCCCCACTCCTACTGTTTTGTGACTACATCTACCTGTTGCTATGTGATTCCAAAACCTACTCTGAACCCCCAAAGTTTGGCCTCTCATTCTGTGGGCTTGGGCTCAGCTATCACCAAAGGCCCCCTCACCCTAACACTTCCCCAGCAGCCGGGTTCAGGGCTCCAGAGATGGACCTGATACCCTGACCTTGCCTCAGGAGCCCCCAGACCAGCAGGGGGAAAGGCAGAGAGTGAGCAGCTGAGCCCCCAGAATCCTCACAGAGGCCAGGACAGGGTCCATCCGGGGCCCACAATTGAGCCTCTGCCCGAACAGTAACAGCCTCCGCCTGTCATGGGCAGTACTTAGGGAATCTTAGGTCAATTTCCCCCAGCCTTCTAACCCACAAAACTGAGACCCCCCCCAGGCCTTACCCAGTCTCCCCCCTCAGAGGCTGGGCCCCAGGCCCTCACAACCTGGCTGGGACTTCCAGGGGCCTCAGGGCTGACCCCACCTGAGGTCATAGTCAAGTGGCAAAAGTCCAGCAGCAGACACATCCAGCCCCAGTCCCCACAGCACTGTCCCTGCTGGCATTAGGTTCTCCGCCAGGACAAAGCCAGGGCCCTAAAGGGACCTTCGAATGTCAAACCCCACCACGTGCCTGGGTCTCAGAATGTGGCCCTCAAGTGGCAGGAACCTCTGGAAACCAACAGAGCCTAGAGTCAGGGATGGAGCCTAAGCCAGGAGCCCCCAGGTGACAGCTTTTTCTGAGAGGCCAACACCCCAATTGTCCAGTGGTCAGATGAGCGCCTGAAGGCTCCCCATTGCCCGCCTTGGCTGCCCTGCCTTCGGCCCAGGCTTGCTGGCACCTGCTAAGGGGACCGACTCTTTCCGCTCTGACTCCC